GCATAAATAAAAGCATGCCATGTAGAAATGGCTTGAAACGTCTGGAAATAGGTTAGAATACATTGATGTTATCCAATTCTGCTTTTAACTGAAAACTACATACACGGGGAATGTATTTTTAGTCCTGGTTTTCAGAATTAAGAATCAATTCAAATTAGGGTTAATTAATACAACGGCTGGGTTTAGAGTAACTCCTTGAAAATTCTGCGGACAGTTCCCTTATTCTTTAACCTTGCCGGGTAAAGTTCTTTGCACATTTTATTTATTTATTTATTTATTTGTTTGTTTGTTTGTTTATTATATTTTACCCTGCCCCCCCAGATAATGTCTACTCCACCGTGAAGAACCTTAAGTACTACTTTAATAGCCCCTCACTATCCTATTGCAGAATTAGAAAGTCTATTCTAAAAAAAATATTTTAAAACTTTTAAAATCCTTTAAATCACATTCACTAGGATGTCCACCCATCTGAGGTTTTTATAAATCCAGTCTGAAGCTTCCAAAGCCATCTCCAACTGACCGGGTGCCCTTGCACAAGCATCTGAAGGGGCTCACCGTGCATAGCATGTTTGGGGCCCGACAACAGTTTCACCAGAGCCCAGAAAGCATCTTCTTCATTCATATACATGAGGAGTAAAGCTGTGATGTGACTCATTCCCTGACAATATCCAACCTCCTAAAAAAAAGAAGAAGAAGATTTTGATTAGGCGTTTGAAGCAGCATACACTCACCCATCCACAAATGTGTGAACTGTTTTTTGTTTGTTTGTTTATTTGTTGTTGGGTTTTTGGTGGCATAACAAGAAGCTGTTATGTTGAAATGAGTGGAGAGACCTTGAGGAACAGATTCGGCTGTCAGGTAGGCAAGAGAAGAAATGTAGATGGAAAACTTCAGGTATCACAAGAATTCTGTGCCCTGGACGCCTGCTGTAATGTGTCATCACATGGCCTCCAGCGTATGGCCAGTTTATGAATGAGCCACCTCCAAAATAAATAAAATAAAATAAATAGAATATTCTGTCTTCAACAGCCCCCCCCAGCTCTTGCAAATGCAAGCCTGCTGCTTCATTTACAGAATTGATCCACCTCGTTGTTGTTGTGTGTTTTTTTTCTGTCGTCTGCACAACTTTAGTGCTAATCATGGGTAGATCTAATCTTCCGGCACCAGTATACGGGGATTTTATTCAGTCATCAGGCTGAATTTCACACTTGCGTTGCTCTGTTGTGCTTTTTTATTATGTGATCAACAACATCAGTCCCTTAAGAGCCTTTGTTGAGTGCATCCAGCAGACATTATTAATGATACACAGAGCAGAGTATTGTGTGAAAATGAACCCTAGTCCTTCTACCTGCCTTCTGTTTGCAGCAGTAAGGGCTACAAGTGCAACACACTTTATAAATTATATTTAATTTTAAAATATATATTAAATGGCATTTATTCTTTCTCATTCATACAACCACCCACTTGGATACCTGTCATGAGAAAGAATCCAGTGTAATGTACAGTCACCAGTTTAGATTTTATTCCATGCTCTCCTTGAGGTTAAGCATTTGTACATCATTATTTAAAGTTTAAGCATTTTAAAATTATTTTACAAATTTAAAGCAATTGAAATTATATTTTATTTTTTTTCCTCCTAGGAAAAATAATAGTATAGCACTAAGGCAAGTGCTTATCATGTCTTGTGAGTTCAGTGCTATTTCACTTGCTAAGCATAGGAGGAAGAAGAAGAGGGGGAGGGATTTGAATGCCGGTGACGGGTTGAATAACGGGGTGGGGATGATGGCAGAGATAGGCGAAGGAGAAGTGGCACGATGTGATATACAGACACTTGAAACACACCTTCCCAGGATAATTAAACATTTTTGTGAAAACCAGCAGCTACAAATTACATGTCAGGTGTAGTATAGAGAAGTTCATGCTGGATAGCTCTGTGGTTTAGTGGAGCCAAAGGTTGGGAGTTCGATTCCCCACTGTGCATCCTTGAGAGGGGCTGGACTTGATGATGATGATGTCAGCCCAGGACAAACTGAATGCTGACGGAGGCTCACGTGAAAATAAAAGCTTCATATAAAAATAACCCCTCCAGACAGAAAATTGGTTTTTCAATGATGATGATGTCAGCCCAGGACAAACTGTGTGGTCGCACCCTCAGTTTTCTATTTTTGTCTAACTTCTCCCAGTCTGACATCTATGATTTTACTTCACCTTGTAACTGATCCTTAGGCTACTTTGGCCTATTTATCTCCAATAGCTAAGTTGTTCAATGGCAGGATGCTGATGGAGGCTCATGTGAAAAAAAAAAAAAAGCTTCATATAAAAATAACCCCTCCAGACAGAAAATTGGTTTTTCAAAACAGAATCTTTCTGTCATTGATTTTTCCTTTTCCTTTCATCCTCCCCCACCCTCCCTGAGCATCCAGACGGAGAAAGAAGGAGTTCCATGTTCTACCCTCACCTTTACTCCAAGAAAGATTTTAGGGAACCCCACAACAAAAAAAGTCATTGCCTATGAGGAGTTGGGTTGACCAGAATTTTGTCACATGCCCTTTTTACACTGTACTGTTTATGAACAAATTAGAAGAGACCTGATCCACACCCTTGTTGCATAAATTTCACGGCTGCTCAGGTAAGTGGCTGGTCTTGTACTGCCTGTCAGACCAGAACTCTCACATAGCTCAAATTTCTCACTTCTTCTTGGCTATAATTCACAGACCGGATGCAAAACTTGCAAATGTGTGAATACTGTATATGCTCCTTGTTATCCTTCTTCCTTTGATTTTCTCTCTTTTGTACTGATTGATTTTGATAGAACATATTCTCACTTCTTCTTGGCTATAATTCATAGACCGGACACAAAACTTGCAAATGTGTGAATACTGTATATGCTCCTTGTTATCCTTCTTCCTTTGATTTTCTCTCTTTTGTACTGATTGATTTTGATAGGACATATGGCCACAAGAAACATTTACAGTGGTGCCTTGCTTAACGAGCGCACCGTTTAACGACGAATCCGCATAGCGATGCGTTTTTTGCGATCGCTAATGCAATCGCATCGCGATGATTCCAATGGGCAAAAATCGCATTGTGATGATCAGTAAGCATTTCGCTTACCGATTTTCACATTGCAATGTTCTAAAAACAGCTGATCGGCGGTTCCAAAATGGCCGCCAGAAGAATAAAATGGCCACCCACAGCATTTTCGCGCCCTGCCCTCGCTTACCAAGGCAGTGAAAATGGCGGCCAGATGGGGAATCTTCGCTTACCGGTGAGTTTTCGCCCCATAGGAACGCATTAAATGGAGTTTAATGCGTTCCTATGGGGTTTTACATTCCGTATACCAATGTTTCCGGATAGCGACGTTAATCCTGGAACGGATTAACGTTGCTATGCGGGGCACCACTGTATTATTAATTCATTATTATTATTTATTCATTTATTTAAAGTATTTTTACCTTGCCTATCTCCTTAAAAAGGATCCAAGGTGGTTTATAACAATTAAAATACAGTTTTTAAGTTAGTAACAATAACTACACAATACTAAAAGGATCAATGAATACAATACTGTACTAGAAAACATAAGCAACACCAAAACACAGTCAAAGCAGCAAAGTACAACAATCCATTTAAAAATACATTGAGGCAGTCACTCAGTCTGAATATCCAGACTGAGAAAGAATTCCGTGTAACATTAAGTCACATATATAGTTACTAGTTTAAATTGATATGCCATGCTGTTTGTGAGATTAAACATTTGCCATATGGGAAACCACTGGGGCAAAGTAGCACCTTCAAGACTTGACATGCTTAGACTGTAATTCTATACCCACATACTCCCAGAGAAGACTCCCTGGAAAAGACCCTGATGTTGGGAAAGTGTGAAGGCAAGAGGAGAAGGGGATGACAGAGGACGAGATGGATGGACAGTCTCACCGAAGCTACCAACATGAATTTGACCCAACTCTGGGAGGCAGTGGAAGACAGGAGGGCCTGGCGTGCTCTGGTCCATGTGGTCACAACTTAACGACTAAACAACAACAACAACATACTCCCATAGTTCAATAGAACTAAGTCCCATTGAACTCAACTGGATTTATTTCTTAGTACAAATGGATAGGATTGCATGGTTATTAAAGCAGATGAAATGGTTACTCCAGTGCATGAAAATGTATACTATAAGCATCTTCATCAACACCATAAGTCTCCCCCACTACATACTGTCAAGTTGATTCTGATTTATGACAATCATCCAAGACTCATCCAGGGATGAACTATTTCTGGTGGTGTTCGTGAGCCATGAAATTTACTCATGGTTTCAAAGGAACATTTGCAAAGGTTGTTTGGTGGCATCCAATCAAGAATCAGAAACTTTCTTTTCCATTGGCCAGACAGAAAAGGGAAAGCCTTCACCAAACTCCAGCAGAACATTACAGCTGTTTAAGGCCCACACTTCCATTTTGCCCTTCATCATCCTACTTCCATGATAGTGACAATAATATTTCAACAGTCTGTAGTAGACCATATATGAATGATGACATGCATTTATACACACATTGACTTACCGTGTTATATACAGAATATGCAGCCAAAACATGGAATAAAGATTGTTGCCTAGAGAGAAAAGAGAGAAAGCAACCTAAATAAAAATTGTAAGTAGTTGTTGAACACACCAATGAAGTGGTTTGTGTGAAACTTGTGGCCGGCAAGTGGATTCCAACTTGTATCAGCCTGAATGGTGAAAGCTATTGTCCAAGACAATCAAGAGGGGCCCCAGGTTTCCCACACTTGTGCTACAGGAAAAAGAAAAATATTCAATAAGGGGGCATACCTGCACTTTTTAAAAAGCGACTCCCAAGGATATGCTCTTATTACTCCCCCCCCCCGCCATGAAAATAAAAAAGCAAAAAGTACATGCTTTCATTTGGCTTAATATGTAGTTTCCTGTAATAGAAATATAGTGGTGCCCCGCATAGCGACGATAATCCGTGCAGCAAAAATCGCTGCAAAACTATTTCGTTGCTATGCGGTTTAAAAAAGCCCATAGGAATGCATTGAAACCCCTTCAATGCATTCCTATGGGCTTAAAACTCACCTTTAAGCGAAAATGCTCCATACGGCGGCCATTTTCGCTGCCCGGTAAGCGAGGAATCCGGGCGAAAACACAGTGGGCGGCCATTTTTTTAAACCCGGCGGCCATTTTGGAACTGCCAATCAGCTGTTGGGAAATCATCGGTATGCGATGATTGGTATGCGAAACAGGGTACCGATCATCGCAAAGCGATTTTTTCCTATCTAAACCATCGCAATGCAATAGCAAAAGTGATTGTAAAAAATTCATCGCTATGCGGATTCGTCATTAAACGGGGCGCCCGTTAAGCGAGGCACCACTGTATTGCAATGGGAGAGTGTGACGTATACGCACGGAATGTGTGTGTGTGTGAGAGAGAGAGAGGGAAGGGTGCTTTTCAATAACGTGTTCAGTTCAATATTTGGACAGAAGACTGGGGTTCAAGAACTAGGCCTCGGTTGTATCTTTGTAGAGGTTTAAGTCTTTTGAAGAAGTTCTTACATGCTAGAATTTAAAAAAAAATTAAAAAGGTAGATGAACAACTTTACTTACTTAACTCCGTATCGGTCTCTGAACATGATATGATTACGGTATGTCCGATTCACATCAAGATCAATCTGTCTGATGTCTGGGGAGGTCCCTCTTGCTTTGATTTTTAAAGTCTAAGAAGTCAAAAGAATGTGTAAATAAATATATTCACCATAACTTCCCCGTTCAATACCAGAATCACAAAACTTGGTGACTATGGCCAAGAGTTTAAAAGAAGTTCCTGGGTTGTTGTTGTTGTTTTTAACTACATATGCTCCTCATGTCCTGTTTGTGCCCTTTCCCGCAGGAAAACCTTTTAAAAATTGGGTATAATGGAGCCGTGGTTAAACTGTTATATTGCACGACCCGGGGTTCAATCCCAGGTAGCCGGCTCAGGGTTGACTCAGATTTCTCTCCTTCCGAGATCAGTAAAATGAGTACCCAATTCACGGGGGGGTGGGTAATGTGTAGCCTGCATAATTAACTTGTAAACTGCCCAGAGAGTGCTTGAAGCACTATGGGGCAGTATATAAGCAGCACACTTTTTTTTAGGGTAAACTGAAAAAATGACTTTGGAAGAGTGCATGTAACCAAGAGATCAAGCATTGCCCATGCCTACTGTAAGTCCACTGTCCCAATGATCATTCCAACTTATTTCTTAAGAAGTGACTATCAGCTGCCAGCCTGAATTAACAGCATGGTGTTGAGCACGGTGGGTGGCCAAATAACGCATACGTTCTAGTTCACGCAGGCAGTCAAGAGAACTTCTGCATACAAATGCAAGCCATTTCTCTTTCAGTGGAAACATTCTGCACACAGACGGGCAATTTTCCTCAAACCATATTTCAGGTTTACTAATGCTTCTTATTAGATTTCACATACGATCACACCGTACATCAAGAAATCTATAAAGTATTTTGCTGGCAGCACCAGCTCAGCTTTCTCAATAATTTTAAGATTAAAAAATATCGCCCGGCCTCACTTGAGAATGAAGACACCTGGGTTTTTGCATACCCTGGCGGTTTCTTTTTACATTATTTTCTTTTTTTTTCCAATACACATCACTAGATGGCATCCATAACCTTTGGAGACATCCATTTGTCTTTCATCCATTTCATTTCTTATTTTTCTTGGCCAGCTTATGGTTTTGGTTCACAGTATTGGTAGGGCTTTTTCTCCTCTCTTTTTTAAAAGGAACCTCGCTGTCAGATGGATTATTGATGTTTTATTTCAAGTCCGTTGCACCCGTGGACTGTTCCAGTTCAGCCTGGATAAAACCGGCACTTGGGGAAAACGTTCTTGCTATCTTCTATGTTGAGCTGTCATGGCAGGCATGTTTTTAATAATGTTGTTAGGAAAAAAATATATCAAGGGATGACATTTTTAAAAATATCCAGTTGGAAGTCTTAAAGCCATTGTACCATCTAATTTCTTATTCATTTTATTTGTAAAGCTGTAAGAGTGTAACTGGAAAGCTAATGTAAGCTTTCTGAAAAGATATTAGAAGTATTATATTAATTTGGAGTTTGCACCAGTATACAGTGGCGCCTCGCTAGACAATTGCTTCGCGGGATGAAAAACCTCCAAGACGATTAGTTTTTGCGATCACTATGGTGCCTCACAAAACTTTTTTTCTATGACTATGCTTTCGCAAGATTTTTTTTTTTGAGACCGATGCTTCACAACTTTTTTTTTTAGACTGATGCATAGGGAACCTCGCAAGACAATTTTTTCACAAGACAGCAATTTTCGTGGAATGAATTAAAATCGTCTTGCGAGGCACCACTGTACCATATTTACTGATGGATCCAAAGGTTTGGTTCAGATTGGAGACACAGGACTGACCGTATGGGACACAGAGAACTGTAACACAGTTTAGGAAAGGGGCCGCAAACAGCACATGCTTAATAGGAGCATGGATCTCAAGTTCACTCCTCAGTTACCTCCAGAGAGGACCATGGAAATACTCCAGATTAGAAACTGGGAGAGCTGCTGCAAGTAAATGAATATTGAAGTACTGTACTGTATGTGCAAGTATAAGCATGTTTAAATTTTAAAGATGCCATTGGAGGTTTTATGGTGATTGGAGTTGTAGCATGGAATGAGGGAGAGGGATTTAATCCTTAAACCTACTCCATTCTAGCTGGATAAAGCAAAGATTACCTCCCCACCCACAAAAGAAAAAATATTAGCCCTGATGGTAAAGAAACACTCAGGTAACTACTATATTTATGGGTTTGTTTGTTTTTTTGCCTCCTCAAGATGACAATCACCACTTGGGATGTGGGAGGAGACAATTTAGGTAAGTAAACCAAACCAGGAGAAATTGTTATTTGTTCTCACAATGAGCAAAGGAGGAGTGTTAAAAAGCTTGTCAACAAAGATGTAGTCATATCCATGACCGGATCATGTATTGATTGCAAAAGTGGTATATCAGCTGAACAATAACTATACATAAGCCCCTATTGGCAGGACTGAACATCTGTCTTATTGGGAAAGAAGCTTCTTAACTGCTGAAACTTGTTTTCCTTTAATAGTGATTAAGACAACATGGGAAACTGTACTTTTCATGCTCAAGAGTGCGCTAATCAATAAAGACTGCCTGCTAGTCACGATTCTCCACGTGGATTGTTTATTTGCTGAAAATTCATATATTTACATTTCTTGCATAACCTGAAAGGTGACTCATCTCCTCTAATCCAGGATACAAACTGGTGCCAAAACCGTGGGAATTATGCAATGACTTCTTATACTATGCCTGCTTTCATCAAGAGCGGGCTGGCTAAGGTGGAACGGAACAACCAGGAGTCTCTCTGCTCCTCAGTTTGCGTTTTGCTCTCAGAAAGAATGAACCACAAAGCCTGCGAAAGTCCAACAATCTGAAATTCCATGATGGTGGGAGTCGCCAACTACTGGCGGGATTGCCAATAGTTGGCCATGGTTCTCGTTTGGGGTGTTCTCAGGACCCTAATAAAGGCAAGGACTGGAGTTTGGGGACAGAACTCCTGCAGCTACTCCCGGGTTCAGCCCAGGCATTCCCTAGTTAAAAGGAATACAGAGCAAGCAATGCAAGAGAAAAGCCCTTCTCTGTCCGCAATCCCGGGGAGAAATGCTGCCAATCAAATAGAGACCACATTGAACCAGACAGAAGCATGGCCAGTATTATTTTCAGTATTTGTACCAGGCCTAGTAATAGGCGTTCCCTGGATTACAATCACAACTGTAACATATAAAAACACAATATGAGTTGTAAGATACCACAGAATGGCTGATTGGGGCATCAACTGAAGACCAACGTGAGGTTTTGGACATCATGGAATCTGGACACCAAACAAGCATTTAGTCCAGTCGTGTCCAGCTCTAGGGCGCGGTGCTCATCCCCGTCTCCAAGCTGTAGAGACAGCGTTTATCCGAAGACAGTTTTCCATGGTCATGTGGCAAATATGACTAGACACAGAATGCCGTGACCTTCCCACTGAGGTGGTACCTATTTATCTATCACATTTTACATGCTTTCAAACTGCTAGGTTGGCAGGAGCTGGGACGAGCGACGGGAGCTCCCTACGTCGCATGGATTCGATCTTACAATGGCTGGTCTTCTGACCTTGCAGCCCAGAGGCTTCTGCCGCTTAATCCGCAGTGCAACCACGTCCCGACTGCATGCTAAAGAAAGCACCTACCAATTTGGCTTAAATGGACTGTCCCTGGTGGTTTCATTAAATTCCTAATCTCAACTCTGTTAGAGGCAGGCCATGCTCCTGGGCCTTCTCTCCTGCCTTAGCCAAAAAGAAATTCTTTGTGTTTCAAAAAGGCAGGGAAAAACGGGGGAGTGGGGGGGGACCCAGATTGCCTGACTGTCATTTAAGAGATGGGTCATAACTTCCAAGCTGCTAGCTGAGGAAGAGCTTGAAACCAACTTGCACACTGTCTCCCTATAAGAAGCAAACCTAGACTCCACATCATCAGCCATGTGAATTTGGGACATTAATAACAGCACACATGTTTGGAACTACCCACAAGAACTGGATGCACAGCCTTGAAGAAGATGGTTTACCATCGAAAGCTTTCTGTTTGGTGTTTTGTTTTTTGTTTTTGTTTTTAATTTTCTTAACGGTTGATTAAAGGCATCACCTGTTCCTGCATTTGTACAAATGAAGGTGAAATTTAAAACAGAATAAGTTTGACAATCACAAATGTAACACCCACATACTGTAAGACAACTTCCTAAGTTACCAAAATAAGTTATGAGCTGGAGCATTTGTGTATGTGGAATAATTCTTACTTAAGGGTATGTGAACTGGGAAATGACACTGGTAGAAAGGAGAGGACTGATGTGACTGAAGGAAATAAGGAAGGGGATATTTTCATGAAGGCATCTTTATATAGACTTGATATTTTTCCCCTTCTGGAAGAAATCAAGGCATCCAGTCTCCTGCAATGGTGTTTTTATAGGTAATTTTAAAGGAAAAGAAAGTGAATTAAAGTTACTGGAAGACATGTGATTGACTTTCAAACTCACGTTATAATAGTCTTTCATTTCTTCTTTCATTTTGGGGACATCAAGCAGCAAAGACCAAACTTCACCTCTTAGTTGTAATGGAATTCCTTTATAGATTCTCCTATGAAACTGTGTTTTTAAAAAAAGACAGAAAAAAGAGAGAGAAAAAAAATCACAAATGCAAGAACCAGAAAAGGTATGGCCTGATGATGGCTTTGCTGCTGTGTATTGGCAGACCCACAACCTGAAATGAAGGCAAAGGTGGTACTCATCTAGACACAGAAGCATTACATACTGCTTGTTGAAGTTACTTATTTGATGTGTCGTGCACTTAAAAATGCAATGGGGTGGGGAGAGAAGGAATGAAAATGTGAGAAATAAGGGAGAGTATATTTTGAGGAAACACAATGAGCTTCTTATGTCCGAATGGAACAGAAAGCCATGCCAGTGCAGATGGAAAGACTGTCAGTCTTCAACTAGAACTGTCAATGGGTTTCATGGTATTACTCCTTTCTGGGGTATTTGGCAAGGTAATGATGCTTTCCAACAGGCTTTTTTGGGTGACACTTTGAGGTTCAGCACAAGAAACCAGGTTTTACACAAACATACACAGTGTTTTTTTTTAATGCATTCAAAATTTGCCAAGGAATGGCACAAGTCTATAGCAAGATGTTGTGATAGCTGCCAACACCGGTGGCTTCAAATGAGAATTAACTAAATCCAAATGGGTTAGGGCCATTCAAGGTTGTTATTCAGGTTTGTTATATGCCACCTTTACTACCAGAATCAGCATGCCCCTGTCTTGTGAGTTGTTGAGAAATACAAGAACTTAAGGTGCAGTTGCACTGCTGTCCTGCTGGCAGGCTCCCCTTGGTTTTTGTGCGAACAGACTGGACAGGATGGGTGGCAGGGGCTGGACCAGATGGGTCAAGCCTCCTTTGAGAATCCTTTCATGCAGCAGGAGACAGAAAGAAGAGACACTGCCACTGTTCATAACTTACTATTCTAGACACTACACAACTATCATCAACGAGCAAAAATTGGGTCTCCTGAACGAAATCAGCATCATACTCCAAACGTGCATGGCCTTGATTGAATTCAATCTGTTTTATGTATTAGATCATGGCATCCTTAGGGTTGCATCAGGAGTGTGGAAACTGAAATTTTATCATTCGGTTTCATCATTACTTTACAGTGGTGCCTCGCAAGACAAGTGCTAACTATCATCAACGAGCAAAAATTGGGTCTCCTGAACGAAATCAGCATCATACTCCAAACGTGCATGGCCTTGATTGAATTCAATCTGTTTTATGTATTAGATCATGGCATCCTTAGGGTTGCATCAGGAGTGTGGAAACTGAAATTTTATCATTCGGTTTCATCATTACTTTACAGTGGTGCCTCGGAAGACAAGCGCTACGTTTTACGACGAAATCACATAACAACAAAATTTTTGCGATCGCAAAAGCAATCGCAAAACTATGTTTCCTACGGGGGAATTTCGCTTTGCGATGTTCGGTTCCCTGCTTCAGGAACCGATTCTCACAAAACAACGATTTTCCTACAGCTGATCAGCGGTTTCAAAATGGCCGCCGGGTAAAAAAAATGGCTGCCCACTTTTTTCTGGGACGGATTCCTCACTGCACAGGCAACGAAAATGGCCGCAATATGGAGGATCTTCGCTGGACAGTGAGTTTCAACCCATAGGAACACATTACTCGGGTTTTAATGCATTTCTATGGGCTTTTAAATTTTGCTTTACGATATTTTCGTTCTACATCAATTTCGCTGGAACGAATTAACATTGTAATGCAATGGCCAGCGGGGATTTCATTCTTATTTGACATCTTACTTTTCACTGTGGCCAGTGGGGGAAACAAAACCTCTGAACTAAACTCATATGGTTTCCAAGGCAGCTGCAGAAGGATCTACAGGTAGAAGACTGGAGCCACTGCATGGGTGAATTGTGGGAGGATTGCGATTCAAAGATTCAAAACCCCTCCCAGGGTAACACCCGTCCGCACCCTCCCAATCCAGGAAAACTTTACACCTGCTATGGAACTGGTGGGAGACTTCGTGCATTGCAAGCAAAGGGAGAAAATTCTTTAAGAAGGAATGCTGAACTTCCCTTCCTTCTTCATTTCTGTCCTGACGCCTAATGGTGGCAGGTACGTAGGAAGCTTGAGCGAGAGAGTAACCTTTTATGCATCTCTATAAAAGTTGATGTATATACAGTACAGGTTGCACAAGAGGCCAACTCTACCATTCAGCACACAGAAATATTTTCTTGCTCCTCAAACTTGATTTTGATTGATTGTCACTTGTTCTATGCTATGTAAAGGTTGCTCAGTTTTTCTTGGTATTGCAATGGAGCACAAGTTAAAAATGACCCCAGCTTGAAAGTAACGCCTAAAAATGATTCACTGTTTGGGAATGCATGTAGCATGCACAGAAATGAAGGAGTTAAAAAGGCTTCTTCTACCCTTCTTCAGCTCGAAACCAACAGCATCCAACAGCTATTTAAAAAACAAAGCCATTTAGCAGGGGAACGCCCCTGCCTAACGTGTAGCCTGGTTTTGAAGAACACGCAAGTAGGGTTTCATTGTGAGCGGGGCGGTGAATTCATTTGAGATCTCCTTGCCAAACAAATTACTCTCTGAAAGAAGTGGCTAAATAAATCAATACACTCTTGGGCCTTTCATCTCCTGCCTCTAGATTATAATTTACCAATCAAATTAATTCATTAAAAATTTCACAGCTATAAACCTTTAGCGGCTATATTAGATACTGCACGGCAAATATTAGTGGCAGATTTCGCAAGCTCATTCTGGAGTTCAATTCCATTATACAACCGTGACAGCCACTTTTAACCTTGCGGTGAACGTTAAACCCTTCAAAACAAGGCTCTCTTTCACATTCCAGCACAAAAGAATGAAAAACAAATTAAGATACTTAAAAGTAAAAAATGACTATAGATAATAAGTGTTTGATACTGACAGGCACCCTTCTTATGATGTGACTGTCACCTGTTCTCACTTACTTAAAACACAGTGGCTAGAGTATTTTTACACCTCTCATATCAGGGAGATGGCAGTTAGCAGGTTTGAGAATCTATTGAGTTAATCTGTTTGTCTATATGCCGCCTATCTCCCTACAGAAGACCCATAGTGGCTCACAACAACTGAAATGATTAAACAAAACACTTTGAAAACACAATATAATTATATTAAAAATACAGCCGTGCCCCGCTTCATGATTATCCCGTTTAACGACGAATCCGCTTCACGACTATGTTTTTGCGATTGCTTTTGCGATTGCAAAACGATGGTTTGAATGGGGTTTTTCTGCTTTGCGATGATTGGTTCCCTGCTTCGGGAACTAATCATCACTTTACGACGATCAAAAACAGCTGATTCTCGGGTTTCAAAATGGCCGCTGGCTGAAGAAAATGCCTCCCCCGCTGTGCTTAGGGATGGCATGCACAGGCATGGAAAATGGCCACCCCTATGGAGGATCTTCGCTGGACGGTGAGTTTTCAGCCCACTGGAACGCACTGAATTGTTTTCAATGCATTTCAATGGGCTTTTTTATTTCACTTTACGATGTTTTTGCTCATTCTTTGCATTACGACGATCAAAACAGCTGATCGTCGGGTTTTCAAAATGGCGACCGGCTGCTCAAAATGGCCCCCCGCTGTTTTTAGGAGGCATTTTTCGCTTAACAGGCACCCGAAAGTATCTGCCATATGGAGGATCTTCCCTGGACGAGCAGGTATTCAGCCCATTGGAACGCATTGAACGGTTTTCAATGAATTTCAATGGGCTTTTTTATTTCGCTTTACGACTTTTTTGCTCTACAGCGATTTCGCTGGAACAAATTAATGTTGTCAAGCGAGGCGCCACTGTAACCACAATTAAAAACCAAGATTAAGAACATTTTTAAAAACATTTAAAAATCTGTAAGTTAATAAACTTACAGTGGAAGGACAAGAGGGAGGGGGCCCACCTAGTGTCTCAGGAGCAGCACATTCCAAAGCTTGGGAGCCACCACCGAGTAGGCCTTCTCTCGTGTTCTTGCCAGAGCTTGGGAAGATGGGGGGGACTGAGAGAAGGGCCTCTCCTGAATATCTTAGAAACTGAGGTCATATGGGATGAAATAATCCTTCAAATAGCCTGTATCCTCCAAGCTCAGTTTATAGGTAATAACCAACACTGGCCTGGAAACAGATGGGCAGCCAGTGAAGCTGTTGTAATAAAGTTCCCTATAACCAGCATCAGCCAGCAGTCTGGCTCCAGCATTCTGAATCAGATGATGTTTCCAAATACTCTTCAAAGGCAGCCCATGTAGCTCACGTTGTAGTAATCTAAGTAAGATGCCACTAAGCCATGTGTCACTGTGGCCAGATTGGACATCTCAAGGAACGGGCACAGCTGTCCACTTCCGTTGCTTAGTTGGGTCAAAGGATCTCACACTTCTACGATACAGTGGTCTCACCACTAAAATCTTAACTAGTGGCAGAGTGGCTGGAAGATTCTCAGGGTTGTAGTCCAAAAAGTTAACTTTTCAAGGCTTTACCCTTAATACGAAAGTCAGCGGGATATATACTGGTCAGAGTGCCGGACAAGCACTCTCAAATCCCAACTGTCATGAAACTCACCAGACTCTTGGCCAGCCTACCTCCCAGGGTTGTTGTTAGAATAAAGTGGAGAGGGAGGAGAGGCACATACAGTAAACGATGCTGAGACTGCTGGAGGAAAGGTGAGATATAAATCTTTTTTATATATAATGTCAGTAGGGAGTATTTGACATGGATGCTTCTATGCACAGAAGAGAACAGGATAATTTTTTTTCCTAAAGGGTGAGGGATTTGTCATTGAGCCCCACACACATACCTTCTTCCATGCATCCAAGGGTCATTATAGAGTGTCTACATCACATACAGTTGCTGCAAATATGTTTTGGGGGGATAAATGTCCCCATCCTCTGCCCTGTGGCCCAGCTGAGCATCTGAAATCACCCTTGGGCCACAGCACAGCTTTCTGTCTTGGTGCTTCTGTTCTCCCATTTGAAAAACGGGAAGGCCATCTCAGAGCTGAGGGAGGCTGCTTCAGAGGAAGAGAGGCCAATTC